GTAAATTTGTATTATTGCGCGTCTGGCTCGGATGGTGTGCTTAGAGGACACAAGGTTTATACTGGTTCGGATAGAAAGTCCCTATGTCCAGTTCATTGCTGCTGCTCATGTTACTAGCACTAAAAGTTTGTAGTAGGGGGTACAAACAGGCGAGAGAGGGAAAGGATCCTAAGTCTCTGGTGAAAGGAGTGAACGGGTGTTGAGAGCTCGATTGCTGCTCAGCCCAGTGCTCATGTCGTGCTTCTTGTGTCAATCTCGATTGATCGGTTTTAATCGGATCGGCCCCCTTTATGGGACGCCCTACTTTCTCTTTTATAGGCCAAGAGAAAGCACGGGTAACAGCGGAGAAAAAGAGAAGAACGAGAGAGAGAAGTCTTTCAGGATCGTTGGGTCCTTATCCTTCATGCGGGTCCCACCAACCCTGTAGATGTCAACAAGTACAGCTCCGCGTCACGGCCATGTCCGTTACTAGCGCCATGCATAGGCGTCGTCTGCCGGTCATGGCGTTCAATTCCATCGCAGCGAACGTCGTGGTGAGCTGACGCACCTGTCAGCGTTCGTACGGGGGTTAGACAGAACAACACTGGTACGCCCGACACTGTTCTTAATGTGAATCCTCAGGTATGGCCCGTCATGGCCACGGGTTACATCGGGACATGCAGGTCTCTTCCTTGGTGTCAGAGTTTTGATCCAAGCCCATATGTTTGAACCTGGAGTGGTTGGCGGTGGTATGGGTCCCCGTCGGGCGAGGCGGAGCATAAACCCAAGGGTCAGGTTAGGCGGAGCCCGTGGCCCCGGGGTCGGGCGAGACGGAGCACAAACCCAAGGGTTGGGCGAGACGGAGCCTATGGCCTTGGGGTTAGGTGGAGCTGTAGTCGCGCTCTTGACTGCTCGGATGAATCATTGTTGATGGCCATTAGTTCCTCCTCTTTAGGTACCCTAGTATTGGTCTCCGACACATATGTACTTCAAAGAAATATACGACTGTAAAAATGGGCTAGTATTATGTAGGATTGTTGGCATTTACCATTTCATCCATGGAGTCCAGCCCACGCCTGATGTCAACAGTTTTTTTTTATTTTTTTGAATTAAACTAGCTAACAACCAACATTTCCAAAATTCATATCAATTAAAATCTTAGAAAATAGCAAATCATTTTAAAATTTTATAATAATATATTCAAGCTCATACGTTTCACTTTAGACCATACCCAAAGAGATAGATAAAAAATTTGTTTGCTAGGGATAATTCATCTGACTAACTCCAAATTACCATAGAATAGTTGTAACAATATATAAACTTAGTTTAGAAAAATCTACAGACTTATATGAGAACATGTTTTTGGTGTATGATATTTCCATAAAAATTTTAAATAATTTTAACAAAGGAGTACTATACGCTCTTCACAAATAGATACATCTCTTACATAGTTATATGTATTTATGTGATAGATGTATCCATTTATGAACAATGTATAGTCCTACTTTATTGAAATGGTTTGAAATTTTTATGAAAAAGTTATACACCTATATTATGGCCCCATGCCAATATTTAGGGTTTTCAAACCACTTTACGATATTATTCCTTTTTTCATCAGAGTCACCAAAACATAACTTAAAGTAATCTCTAACAAAGTGCTTTATTTTTCATTGATTTTTAGATACAAGCTCAAATGGAACATGTCTTATTATATATATACCCAGGGGCAAATTTGTCCTTTCTTGTGCCTGATATTAGAAAATGATAAGAAAAGAAATTAAATAAGTGATATGTCAAAGAAATCAAATTGACCTTGTACTATATGGTATTTTTGCAAAGCCAACGATATGGAGGGTAAATTTGCAAAGCCTATCATACAGGAAGGTAAATATCCAATTTTCTCCACCTTAGATATGCTTGAACGAGCGAAGGCGGAGGTTGTCGTGAACTCTCTCTCTCTCTCCCAAAATAAATATGCATCTCGCATTTTAAGGAGTCAAATAAATATATTTTTATAATAACCATATGTCAGGGTTATAACCCCAGGGTGTCTCAAGGCATCGATTAGTTAGCAGGTCGAGCGGCCCATGGTACATCAGCCAGCAAGAGTCCAAACGATCGAAGCCCAGCTGATCCAAGAAAACCAGGCCAAGCGCTAAGGCGGGGGTCGGCCACGACCCCTCCAGCAGACTTAGCTACACAACGTGAAAGAAACTCACGATCTCCCCGCTCCTACCCCTTGGGGAACGGGGAGGGGTCGAGTCTGACCAAGCGTGCCCGCTCTGACAAGAGTAGGCACGCCGCACTGACCCCGCAAGGACCGAGGGACAACGGTCACCTCGGTCCGGTCCCTGCGCCACGCTGTGCAGACAGGACAACACCGCACGACGATGACAACTAGTACGATGATCCATCGTCCAAATACGGTCCGACAGGACGCATGTACGATTCTACCCACCACGGTATGGGATCCACGACGAAGGCCTTGACTTAGAGGCCATCCAGACCGACGGAAGCCACGACCCCGACGATCGGGATCGTGGCCCTCAGTTCTTCAAACCAACAAGACGATCGACGACCTAGGGGCGGCTATCAACTCATGTACGATGCCCCAGAAAACCAAGGAACGATGACGAAGAGCACGGCGAGGACCACGTTGCACAGGACGGCTGACTAACAACCACCGTGCCTACAGTGCCGCCATGGCCGACACAGTAGCACCACGTCATACCATACCGCGACGTGGCCATAAGACCATGACGACAACCACACCCAAACGTGCTTCACAAGACAGCGTAGTTTGCAAGTCAAGTTAGCTAAGACCTCCCTCAGGCTTACGACCCTTCGGTCAGGAGAACCTTCTTCTTTGTACACGTCCTGACCCCGAACTCTATATAAGAGCAGCCAGGGCACCCATCTTGGGAACCAAAATCATTCGATCCATCTCTCATTCACTCATTCTTACACCGTAGAAGGGCTCCGATCTCCTACCCCTTCCACCATTCTTGCACCCCCATTATAAGAACTTCAGAGCATTCAAATGAGAAACACGCACTCGATCATTTTTTTGACTGGACGTAGAGCTCCAGTCTGAACCAGTACAAATTCTCATGTCTTTTGGATGCTACCATCATCTTCTTAAAGTAGCACGGCAATCGTATAAGTTTACTAGTCCAGTTTACAAAACACCGATGCCATATTTTAAGATATAAATATTGATATTTATTTTTATAAATCTAGTTAAACTTACGGTCGGTTAACTTCTCGTAAAACGAGATCAACATTTATTTTGGAAATTGGGACGGAGCCATGGAGGGAGTATACTTTTTTTTTAACTATGGAGGGAGTATACTTGATGCAGCTGCAGGTGGACAGATTAGTCACAGGTTCAATAGTCAAGACAGGGAGGAGTGCCTTGAGCAGAAGCCCATTCTTGTGATCTTGTCTAGTGTACGTATTCGGCCTTGGGCCGTATTCTAACGGGAATGTGTGAGAGGAAGGCACATTAGACAAACTACTATATGTAGGCCCACTTCCCGGAAGGCTGGCCGTAATCACTGATTACATGAAATAAAATCCAAAGGTAATACACTCCCCAACTACTGAACTTCTTGCTATTCATCACCAACCCTAGATAGCAATGTGTGATTGTCCATTTCCTCCCAGCAACAGGGCCAACACCTGTCTAAGATCAGTTCACAAAGACAAAATATAAATCAAAACAGAACATCCCATCTCAATCTCAAAATTTAAAAATCTTTATATATCTCAAATCTCAAATCTCAAAATTTAAAAATCTCGATTTGTTGGGCGCTTTCTCGAGAAAGCACCCTCTAAACATTAGAGTATGCTGCTTATTGTGACGAGCACACGGTATTTCTTTAGTAAAAGGCCAAAGAATAATTCGCTTTGTGTTCACCACACAGCTGCTTGAGTTGGTTGCCTTCACCTGCTACTGTATAAGACGTTGGATGGTTGGCTAATCTCCATAAGGACGTGTTTGGATGCGCATATATTCGTCTCAGTCCACATGTGTTGAAGTGGATTAGAGTAGAATTAAACTAAATTCCATTCCATTCTACTCCAACACATGTGGATTGAGGTGAATACATATGTATCCAAACAAATACATCCAAACAAGGCCTAAGATTGACCGGTGTGGGACTGAACATTATTTCCCGGGCTGTCTGGATGTGGGAACTACTGTTCGCCTAAACGGTCGTTTAGCCTGTTTAAATACCGTGTAAACGCTACACGATGGTACGCCATTTCCATTTAATCACCCATTTACCCGTTTAATTGGCCGTTTAGCCCGTTTCATGAGACGTTTTGCCTAAATAATGACTAAACAGTAGTTGACCAACTATTTACCGTTTAGCGTTTAGGGCGTCATTGCAAACGCCCTCGTACATGGGCTTGTCGTGTCAAAAGCTGGCCTATGGGTATGCGGCCCAGTGATAGAGACCATGGCCCCCGTTTCCTGGCGCTGACGCTGACGACACGCAACATGGCAGCTCACGTTTTTTCCCCCCGAAATGAGTTGCAGCTCACGTTTCACTACGCAGAAATTAAAAAAATCAACACAAAGATGTACATTTATTTTACAGAGAATGTTATTATGCTACATAACCAGCAACACTCAATTATACGTCAACAACATAATAAACGTAATAAGCGTACTGGACTGTTGTATGGAGTAATCAGCAGTTTCGACTTTCGAGAACGCATAAAGATTCAGCAAACATTCTATCTATAGACACAAAAGAAAGAGAGTGTTCTCATAATACTCCTTGTATTGTCAATTTATAGCAGCATCAGTATTCAGTGGAAAGGCAAAATCCACAGCTGTACAGAGATCTATCTACCATCCTTATATGCCTTCTTTCATCATCAGAATGCTCCATCATCTTCCATGTCTACTTTTAGGGCTCTTTTGGCGCCGTTAACCATCAGATTTAGGCTGTAATCTTCATCATCCTCCCCCTTTCTGCTGGGGTCAGGTACTTTGACCCCCTCTGTTCTTATCGTCTCATCTTTACCATGCCAGCTTCCTTTCCAATCACTGTGGTTTTTCTCACAGTTTTTCTGCCATGATCACCCCGAGATGGTTGCTCTGATCTTTGATCATCAACTCTTTGAATCTTTATTCTATGACCATTTTCGTGATCTTTTGTATCAGAATGAGCGCTGTCTTCGTGAAAGACTAGATCATAGCTGCACAATGAGAATTTGTCAAAGCATGCATATTCGAGAAAAAAAGAAGAATTTTCCAAAGCATGAGGTTAATGATCAGAATAAATTTAGTGCAAATTAAACACATAAAGAAGAAAGGGCAGAGAGTTACCATCGACCATAATTTCCACTGTGCTTTGTGTTTTTGCCTTTCAGAAGGCCTTTGTTTTTCTGGCCACCATCTTGGTCGCAATCCCTAGCTAGGTGATGAGGGGCACCACACCTGAAGCACCCATGTGCAATGAGGAATGGTATCATATAATCTTTATCAAGGAATTGTTTACAGCTGAGGAATGATTATCATATAATCTCTATCCAGAGAATGGCTGGACGGAGAACACTAAGACAACTTTCAATATAGATATAAAATGATATAACAATATGCAAAAGGAACGATCTGGTTTACGATCTTTTACCTCTCTTTGCATCTCTTTTGCTTTGTCTGAATTGGCTCCATGACTTGAAAGCACTCTGACCGAAATCAACCTCAATCCTCCGGTCATCAATCAAACATTTTTTCATCTAAATGCAAAACACTCTGTAAGAAATCTTTATTTAAGACTATTCAAGGCAATTCCAAGTGAGAAACTCAGACACTCCTCTGGATGCAAAATTTTCACTGACTAGTCATATAAGCTCTTTGTTTCATTTTACTTTCTTATCAGGTTGCTTCTACTTTTCAAGTCTGGTATTTTCTTATTATCTTTTCCACTGCTTGTACCGCGCTAACTAAATCAGTGGTGAAACTAGAAGGTTACTCTTTCTTACACTTTAAAAAACAGTCACTTTTTGGGCATAAACAAAGCATGACTCCATCAAAGCACTAATAAACGTGTGGCATTCACTAGTAAGGAGTAATCAATAAATCATCATGCCATCGAAATGGTAGAATACCATTACTGCAAATACACATTCACATGAGAATCTGCGATTCTGACCTGAAACTGGGAATATGCACATTCGCAAGCAAGCCTCCTTTGTTTCGAATTCTGACAGAACACCATCAAGAGAAATGTTAGCATGACATATTAGACAACTCAGCTAAGTATAAGGTATTTAGCAGGAACTATGGATTCTCTGACAGATATTGCCACCATTTATATGGATTTAAACTATACCTAATGAAAGCTTGTGGAAACAATGGGTGGTTACTTTTTAGGAGTGCAATGTAGACTTGTTTATTTCTATAGAAAAAAGAAAATAAAATAAATAAATTCTATAGAAAAAAGAAGCAGAAGACAGAGGATGAGAAAGTAAATATATTTTCCCTGTTTATTTACTACTTGCTGTTCTTTCAACAATCAGATGAATCAGCGATCCTTGTTGCCTATTCAAATGATAATCAACCAAAGAGGCCTAGCCAACACATAAACATGCAATGCAGTTGTCAAAACGGATGATACATGTGCAATACAGTATACAACAAGAGTTTTACAGGAATGAAACATACCGATGAAAGCAAAACCTAAGCTGTGTCCAGTCTTCTTGTCACGAATTATTTCAGCCCTGCAAAAAGAAAAGAAAACAAATTGAAGAGAATAAACAAGGAGAAGCATTAATCAGAGCTAAGAAAGGCACTCACGATGTCACAGTTCCAAAACGAGAGAAAATTGTATATAAATCTTCATCCTGCAAAAGAATTGAAGTTATTCAGAAAAAATAGTTAGCATTGAAGACATTGAGAATTTGATAAGTTCAGTTTCAGTATCCACAATAATCAGCAACACACCCAACACAATGGGGGGGGGTGCATTTCTAAAAATAATAGCTGAAGAAACATACTATAATTCCACCAAAAAGCTCCAACGAAGTAACTTAAAGGCAAGCAATTAGGAATAATACTAACTTGTGTTACTGGGTTAATTGGGCGAACAAATAAGACATTGTCTGGAGGTTTGATCTCAGCATCTGGAATATCTCCCATCTGCGCAACGAAATGTATTGATCACTTGTAAGCATGATATCAGTACTAAACCACTAACGAATATAAGCTGGTGACTTTTGATTTATCACTAGGACTTACAATCTGAAGGGCTACTGCATTTGTATGTGCCTCTTTAGCACGGATCATCTCCTCAAGTTTTTCAGGAGCCGCTGTTTCGTCCGGAGGAACATAATTATCCTCTAAGCGCTCTTCTCCAATCTGCATGCAACACAAAAGTAAAACATAAGGGTATACTCACGTTGACAGAACTACTATGGCATTCAAGACACAGGGCCTGCTTGGTTGGGTTCCAAAATAGTTTTGGAACCCAACCAAGCAGGCCCACAACCTCTTTTATAAGGCGGATTGGCTGAAACATGCTCAATTAGTCAATTTGCACAAATTGGCCTACAGAGGACAATGGGGGAAGGTTTCAATCCTAAATGAAATGGATGCACACTAAAAAACTGCCATGGCCGAAATAAAAAAATGAACAGACAGACAAATCAGAAATTCTCGATAGCCAACAAATCAGATAGACAGTTGAAAAATATGTACACTCGGTAACTGCTAATCTGCCACAACTGGAATTTTGAACTAAAATGCAAAACAGACACACAGATAAAGCAAATAATCAGAAATTCTCGATAGCCAACATAACTTTAATAATATATAATTAAATTAAGAAAGCCAAAAAGAAAAGAAAAAATACCGTGGCCTCCTGTTATTAAGATTGGTGCATTCCGACTTATCATCTCACATTTTGGAAATGAACACGATTAGAATACTTGTTACCTCATCACGTGGCTTTCCTTTGGAGGAATTCTCAGGAATAAGTTCAGCAAGCTGAGGAGGATCATCAAAAGGATCATCCAAGACGTATGTATGTTTAATCCTGCAAATAAATATATTCTAAGGGTCAGCAACAAGGAAAGAAATAAACAAAACAATTAAACAAAGAAGGAAAGTGATGCTGGTGAAGAGTGAACTTCAATATTAATGCTGTAGCTAAGACACTATTAACACTCCACCTTATGTTCTTGAATGGTCTTCCTTTATCGTCAACATAAGCTTCATTTATTTTCAGCAGTGTATTGAAACCTTCAGCAACCATCCCAAACACCTATGGTTCACAGAAGAAACGTTGAGTTTCTGCAGATAAAGGACGAATTCAGTTCATAAAAAATAACAGTTAATGGAATAAAGTACTCACGGTGTGTTTATCATCAAGGTAATCCAAATCATCCCGTAGAGTAATGTAGAACTAAAAGTATTTTATAAAAATACATAAATGGAAGGTCAAAAGAAACAATGAGACTACGCACGCACCGGCCGCACCGCTGGGACGAGCGATACCGGCTGTACATACAATGTGCCGGCTTCCTTGAGATCATCCGGGTCTTCAACACTGGGCTACCGATCCTCGACCCTGCACTTCTCACTGCTGCTATCGATAGGTATGATTTGATACACGTTTGGTGAAGTACAAAGCATTGATTTGTCTCATTGTTTGAATTAAAAAAACTTCGTGTATTGAATTAAAAACCCACAGGTGGAGACCAGAGACTCACACCTTCCACCTTCCTCGCGGCGAGATGGCTATCACGATGCAGGACGTGAAGATGATTCTGTGTCTGCGGTTGGGGGGTCTCCCAGTGACTGGGATCCTTGATAACGATCACCGGATAGACTTGGTGGAGCAGTTCTGTGGCAGAAGACCATCCGAGGACGAGGATGCTAAGAGAGCAAAGTAAGAATTTCTACGTTCCAAACATTTACCATTTTGACACCAGCATATGCAAGTCTTTGGTTAGTCTCTTATATCACAAATATATGTTATGGTCTAAGTTTGTCATTGATCTACATATTCTGCAAATTATTTTGCTATTTAAATGGAGGGTGTAGTATATAACTTTTATGATGCGTATTGTCTTTGTCTAATTTATTGTTTATTTTTGTTTTCTCAGCTCTCATGTAATTGTCCTTCAAAAATTTCAGGGAAACATCCGGTGTCAGTTCGGTCTGGATAATAGAAAACTTCGGGGCGCCGCTGCACCTAGACGCTCCAGAGCAGGAGATCGAGCAGTATGCTAGGGTGTGGTTGTGGCACTTCTTAGGTGCCTTTCTGTTCCCCGATGCGTCGGGTGACACTATCAGCTGGGCCATCCTCGACATACTGAGCCAGCCATGGGAGAATATAGGAGCGTACAGCTGGGGCAGCGTGGTCCTAGCATGGATCTATCGTTAGCTCTGCGTTGCCTGCCGACGTAGTACAGGAGGTGCCAACCTAGGAGGTTGTTCCCACCTACTACAGGCTTGGTGTTGGGAGTGATGGCCGGTCGGGAGGCCCGTTGTTCACGGTTTACCTGTAAGTGTATCGATTTTTTATTTTCCTCAAACTTGATGCCGCACTTGTGACTGACTATCGTATTCAATGCAGTCATGGAATCACGTGGACATAGGACCGACTGCTCTATACGTCTGGCAAGAAGCGGAGGTAGTTAGAGGGAACCCGAAGCGGCGGTACAGGAAGTACTCGGACACGCTAGACGTCCTAACACAGCACGAGGTAACGACCACTTTGATACTGCTAGTCGGTGTTGTTACTTTTTTATTATTCCAAAAACCTAACTGTAGTTACCTAACTTTTAGGTGAATTGGTGTCCTTGATCTAGATTCGAGCTAGAGGGGTACCTGAGTCCTCGCACTGAGGAAGAGTCGGACGAGTGGTTTTTTAACGGTCCACTAATTTTGTTCCACGTGGTCGAGATGCACTACCCTATAAGGGTGTATAGGTAATTTGGAAGATTGCAACCATGCCCACCGCTGCTGTACACAACCAACAGAAAGTTGCACGAGCGCGACGACTATAACATAATAATTTAGTAGTCATGTGCATACATACAACCACTAACTAACGTTAAATTTGTAGGTACGATCGAAGGAACAAGTACAAGGAGAAGAATTGGGCCGTGACGCATGCGGGGTACATGGACGACTGGGAGAATAGGCAAAGGGTCCTGATCGTCGAGAAACCATCGGACGACCAACGCAACTTTGACCGCTACCTCCAATGGTTGCATAGGAGTACCCGCACACATATACAGGCCCCCTACACTAACAAGCCAATTAATGAGGACGAAGACGAGGATGACATCGTTGATGTGTATGACGAGGAGACAAGGATGAAGACACAACTTCAGAGAGCCCCGCTACAGAGATACGTGGTGAAAGGATCAAGATGCCCAAGAGGGGGGTGAATTAGGCTAATTATAAATTTCTTTGCAATAATTAACTCATATGGTTAGCCCAATTAAACCCTTGTGCCTAGAAAGTGTTTCTAATTGTTCTACTGCACAAAAGACTTACAACCTAAGTTACAATCCTACTCTAGCATGGCAATTCTATGAATGCAAAGACAATAATTGAATTGCTCAAAGTAAATGCTCAAAGTAAATAGAGAAGGAGGAACGCGGCGATGTTTTGCGGAGGTATCGGAGAATAGCCACTCCCCACTAGTCCTCGTTGGAGCACCCGCACAAGGGTGTAGCTCCCCCTTGATCCGCGCAAGGATCAAGTGCTCTCTATGGGTTGATTCTTCGACACTCCGTCACGGTGAATCACCCACAATTGCTCACAACTTGAGTTGGGTCATCCACAAGCTCTCTAGATGATCACCAAGCTCACAATCACCACCAAGCCATCTAGGTGATGGCGATCACCAAGAGTAACAAGCACCAACTCTCACTTGACCACGGCAAGCCTAGGGAGAAGGGTGGATGCACACTTTGCTACTCTTGATCTTGCTAATGAGGGCTCTCTTTGGGATTCTCAAATCTCAATCACCTCACTAGGACCTTGCTCTTCTTGGCACTCTCTAAGGTGTGTTTCAGCTATTGGAATGAGCAAAAGTACCCCCACACATGAGTGGAGGTTCTATTTATAACACCGGCTGAAAAACGAACCGTTATGTGCCTCTGCTGGATGACCGGACGCTCCGGTCAATTCACCCTAAATTCCAGTGATTACAGTGTGACCGGTCGTGATTTTCCCTCTGTGGAACCTTACTGGAAACGACCGGACGCTGGCTCTCAGCGTCCGGTCGCACCGAATGAAATCACCTTGATCAAATGAACTGACCAAACTCTATGCCAGCATCTGGTCACATCGAAGCCAGCGTCCGGTCAGCATTTGACCCTCCATTCACTTCCAACTCTCGATCATACGTGAATGAAGTTTGCTCCATAGGATCTTAGGCATATTTAGGAGCTACCTAGCGCTAGTTTTAACAAGTGTGCACCACACCAAACTCACTCGACTCACCTAGGTCAAGCTACTCGTCCATACCCCCCGTAATAGTACGGCCAAAGGAAAAACAAAGTCCTAAACTACTCTAAGTGTCTCTCCAACTCTAAACGACACTTAGAACTAGTCCATCCTTAACCTTATCGTCCATCCTTTGAAAATTAAAATGATTTCCATCGTAGGGGCATGACAACCATGATTACCCAATCGATTTCCATTGCCATGACCTAACTTAATTGCCTCTGCAAAACACACGTTAGTCACAATAATCTTATATTGTCATTAATCACCGAAACCCAATTAGGGTCCTAGATGCTTTCAATCTCTCCCTTTTTGGTGATTGATGACAATACTACCTCGAGTATGTGAAAGAGTTGAGGTTTTAAACATGCTTGGATCATATAAGCTTTTGTCAATAAGAACAAAAGAGTTAGTCAAGCTTATATGACCCAAGCCAACATAATGTACTCCAAAGATATGAAATAAGCATGAGTACAAGTAATAAAGTTCATTTACATTGGAGTAAAAATGCAGAAGCAAATCAAATGAGCATAACACAAGTGATATGACATAAATAATCCAAAATAGAGAGCACACATGTCATATATCACGATCACGTAGATATCATTATCACATATATAGTTCAATGCATGAAAGTAAACACACACGATGAATGCATAATAGTGTATCACACATAAAAATCCAAATGTAATAGATAAGCTAATATAATAACTAAGCTCCCCCTAGATAAGTCGCTCCCCCTAAGGCTAACATACTCGATCCCTCTCTCCCTTTGGCGTCAAACACCAAAACCTAAGGGTCGGTCGGCGGGGCTGCAACGGACGAGTCGGGCGCTGAGGTGCGAGGAGCAAACTAGAACCGTGTGCCATCATCATCTGACCCTGAGCTCTGAGCTGTGTGACCCTCTATAGCTGAAAGCAACGCTGAAGTGGTCTGGGTCGGATCAGTAACTGGTGCGGCTGTAGGCTGTGCTGGTATGACTGAAGCAACCGGCTCTGATGATGCCACTGAGGAAGGGAGCATCTCTGTAGTCCCAGTAATAGGTGCAATGGTAGAAGGACCTAGGACATGTAGATATGGAGGAGTAGGTTGCCCTATCAACTCACTGAAGAAAACACCAAGGCTCCTGGACACTGTAGTCTCTGGCACTAGCAGCGAGGGCATCTCTGTCGGTGTGAAGCCCGTCTGAAAAGGTGTGAACTATGGGGCTACCACTGGCGAAGCAAAATACTAGGACACCTGCTCTATGGGTGAAGCAAACTGTGCTGGTGGCTGTCCCTAACTCTGAAGCCCACTAGGTTGTAATGTTGGAGTCATAGAAGTAGTGGCAGTCTGACCAAGCTGGGGCGAAGGCTGTGGCGGTGGAGCCCCAATAGCTGTCACAACATGCTGCATAAATCCAAGTAGCTGCTGTTGCATGAGGATCTACTGCTGATGCATGGCCTGCTGCTGCTGCTGTAGAGCCTGCGTCTGCTGCTGAATGACCAACTGCTGTCTCTGAAACTCGTCTTGGCGAGTCTGGAACTGTGCGAAAGTAGCAGTTGTCTCCTGTGTCTGGCGAGCCTGATCCTGCCTCATCCGCTCAAGTATGGCAAGAAGAGCAGATTTTGTCTGCGGTGCAGGTGGAGCTGAACTAGAGCTGCTGGCCTCATGATCATATCGACGTGCATGCATCTGAGGAATGTCCCGGTAGTCCTCATCTGAGCTGTCACTGGGGTCGCTCTTGACTGCCCCCTCCTACTGAGCAAGCTGCTCCTCCTCGGTAGCTGCAATACCCCTGATAATATCATCCTACTGGGCTACAGTCTTCGGCACCTCAGGACAACGGCGCGGCTGACTAGGTGTTGTAGGTGTACTATGCCAGATCATCTGAGACAGGTTATAAGCAGGGAACTCTATAGTAGCACCACTGTACTCAGCTAGCATCTCAGGCGGCCTCACTGTAACTGCCCTGTAAATAAGGAATGTGATCCAGTGGGCATAGGGCAACTGATGGTGACCTCTGAACCCCTCAGCAATAGTATCATCCATCTCTGACAAAAGAAGATCCCAGATGTCAAATACTGTCTGCTGCATCAGAGAGTTGATAAGCCACAACTCTATGCGAGTCAAGCCCTCGCGATACCCCATCCTCAAAAGCAGTGTCCTCCTCATGACAGCCTCAAGCACGTGAGCAATCAGAGTAAGATCACTGGGGTTCCTCCTCGACCCTTCTCCAAAAGGCTTTGTGAAACAGTGACGAACCAAGTCTGTAGGGGGCACCATACCGCCATGAGGGCGCCTAGGAGGTGCTGTCTGTCCATAGCAAACCTCATGTAATCAGACAGGCTACTCCTGAAGCCTGAGTATCTGCCTGACCCTAGTGCTCGTCAGCCGATAATCTCTACCTCTGAATGCAAAGTGAATAAAGTTATGGTGCGGGTCAATCCAGAGAGTAGCATAGAACTGACAAACCC